AAGTTAGCTTCATATATGGAAGTTAGCTTCATATAAGGAAGTTAGCTTCATATAAGGAAGTTCGCTTGATATAAGGAAGTTAGCTTTATATAAGGAAGTTAGCTCTCCAGACCATATAAGTGAGTTCAAACCCATCTCTTCGCCGCCCACACACACACACTGTCGCCATTTTTTATTTTACCAACTCAACCAGGTCCATGTTACTCTTTTTTAATTTACATATAAGTGACATATTCATATTTGATTTTAACAGTATATTGTTTTACAAGAAGAAAGACTTACACTTCTGTCATATTCGTTAATGTAAGAAATACAAAAATACAAGAGCTAGTCTCAAAATCTATTTATCTGTATACAGAGATTGAGTACGTTATGTTATAATTAATGCGATTTTGGAGCCTCACCACGTCGTTAAAAAGTCAATATATAGTCGAAAGTTCAGTACACGTTGCACCAATACATCTGACCCTGCTAAAAATCAACGATGATAGAGAGTTTTATCTTAAAAGATGATTGCCACTTACTTGCATTTGTTTCTCTACTCAATAAGACCAAAAATAAGGCAAGAAACCATCGTACAGAAATCCATAGGCGCTGAGTCCGATGTCTTAACCAAGTATGGCTTCTTCGGGAATAGCATGAATGCCCATTTCATTTTCCGGGAACCTGGGATATGTGATGGTTGAACGAGAGATATGATTGGAAGCCTTATCTTTTTGAACACATACCCTGTTAACCTCGTTTCCAGATGGAGATCCTTTTTTATTATGTTGCGTACTGTTGCCTGGGACATATGGATGGTTTTCTACCACTGAGCTTTATGTTCGCGAACTCTCACCTGTTACAAGACGCTGCACTTTGCTCACCACGACTGGGATTTTGTGTTGTGTTGTGCCTGGCAATCATTTTGATGTAAAATTAATTAATTCGAAATAAATAATTAATCATCAAGGGTGTTCGATGATTAAACAATCTTCCTTCACCCCACGCGAGACTAAAAGATTATAAATTCCTGAGGGTTATTGGAGTCTATTCGGACTGGAGTTCGGTACTGTTCTACCGCGCTTTTATATCGGCTGTGGTTGTTACATGACTTGTTCATTTGCATATTGCCCCCCAGTGGCGCAGCGGCATGTCTGCGGACTGACAACGCTAGCAACTGGGTTTCGATACCCGTGGTGGGCAGAGCACAGATAGCCCATTGTGTAGCTTTGTACATAATTACAAACAAACAAACAAATATTTGCATATTCGAAATCGTTTTATATAACGTACTCAATCGTCCGTATATATATGTGTGTGTGTGTGTGTGCATGAAGTATATTACTCTTAACATAACTTAACTAATTCGCACCAGTATTTGTACCTTGCAGATCTTGTAACGTACGAATATTTGAATCAGCTCTAACAACGGCCACGGCCCAGTAATTTATAGGGGTGTCGTTAGAGGTCTCTCTAACTATAGGTTGAAATTCATGATACCTGCAAAAAAAATCGATTACTATAAAAGTGAATAAATACCACTTGGATGTTACCTTTACTAAATGATGCTCAACAATAAAAACTTTGGTTAGATAGACAAAGATCGTAACAGTTAAATATTATATATCGCTGGTTGTCCTCTAATAGTTAAACAAGACAACGGATGATTTATTTTGACCAACTTATTTCTTCGAATCAGAGAGATTAGACAAGTCACTCTTGAAGACTAAGAGTAAATTGAATAAACTCTTAATCTTGGATCATTTGTAAAGGTTTGTTTGTTTTTGCGTGTTTCAGAATTTCGCGAAAAGCTACGCAAAAGCTTTCCACGCGCAGCCGTCCTTAATATTGTTTTTCTTTTTTTTTTAATTTCGCGA